AGGGCGCGTCGGGGGTGACAAAGGTGCCCTTCTGGTCCCACTGCATGTCCCGGATGCGGCGGATGGACTGAATCTGGGGTTGGAAGGCAGACCACTCGTTCCAGTGTCGGAAGTCTCCGGTCTCGAAGAGGTACTGGTAGCCTCTGTATCCAGGGTACTGGTACCCGACCCAGCTGCAGGGAAAGCAAACAGAGGGCACCTGAGCGGGGTCGGCCACTACAGGCAGCCGGGACAGAGCCCCCTGCCTCCCGTGCGCTGGGTGTGACCCCCTGGGTGATGGGCTACACCACCGAAAACAGCCGTGCAGCGCTTTCTGGCTGCCCGAGAGCCCCGTGCGGGTGCTCAGGATCAGCGGGCAGTGAGCCGGGGCGCAGGGGAGGATGGGAGCCACCGCAGCCCAGCTTACGTTCCACTGGGCACCTGCACACTGCCCACGCGGTCACAGAAGCCATAAGCCCAGAGGCTAGGCACATCGTCCTCCTGGATTTCCATCTTGTTGCCCTTGAAGTCAGCAGACTCGTACAGGGAGATTTTGTGGTCCTCGGCCTCCTGGGGAAGATAGAGGGAAGGCGCTGGGTCGCACGGCCGAAGCCCTGGAGCTTGCTGCAGCGAGGCATCGAGCAGCACAGATCTGGCCCTGGCCAGACCCCGCTGGGTGCTTTCTGCTCCTGGACCACTCACCATTTTGATGGGACGCATGGACATGAAGCAGTCGCTCCGATAGCTGCTAGACCAGGTGTCCCAGCGAGGGTACTCGCCCTTCTCCAGGATGAACATCTCCCCGCGCATGTTGGCCTGCTCATAGGCCACCCAGCTGGGGAGAGGGGTAGGACAAGACAGCGGGTCAGATGCTACCCAGCAGCTCCTCTCCTGCTCTGCCAGCCTGCAGGGTGCCGGAGCCAGGCTCCCAGTGGCACCCAAAAAGGACTGGCCCCAGCGTCCTGCTCCCACCTTTCTCAGAGCACAGGCACTACGGCATGCACAGAGCTGGCAGCTGCCATGAGCACTGAGCCTGCAGGCTCTCAGCTGAATGCTCGCTGGTGCACGCTGGTGCACTGCAGCAGACACCAGCGTGCTTGCAGTGCTTCCCTTCCTCAGCCCGGGGAGCGGCGGGACCCTGAGCCCTGCACGCTGCACACCGGAGACTTGTCCTTGCGTTATCTCAGGACTTTGACTGTTTTCCCTCTTGCACCACCAAGCCCGGGCCAGGGCTGCCCAGACTGTCTAATCCTGGCACGCTTGCATGCTTCACTGCATCAGCTTCAGCCAGCTCTGGCATTCATCCCATTACCAAGGTACGGGCACTCAGGGCTTATTCAGCTGCAATGTCACCTCTTTAGCAATGCCACAAGGTGCTGCTGTGCTGTGAATGTCACAGGCTAAGGCCTCCGAAAGCCCTCAACACCAGAACAGCCCTGCATTTGCTGCTTCCCATTTCCCTGCAAAACGGGGCTATTTCTGCAGATGCCAACAGGTATTTTCCTAATGGCAGGAGACATGTTTGAGTACCACAGGCAGGTTGACCTTACACTGACTTCTAAGGCTAAGCTTGGTTGATTTTGCTTTGTCTTTCCCTGAGTAAATTTTTGGGCACAGAGTCTCACCAGTGACTCTGAAGAAGACTCTGAGGATTTAGGACCTTAATGATACTTAAATACTCTGTTCTCCAAGTTTCACCCTTTCTATATCTAGTGCAGCTTCCCAGGCATTACACCTGAGCTCCTTTGGAACTACTTTGTCCCCCTTTTGTTTCAAGGAGAGTTGGATATTATGGGTTCCTAATAAAAAAGTTGTCATCAGTGCTACATGGTGTCATTCAAGGTCACCTTGCCCAGTCCCTCAAGGCTGCCATCGAGGCAAGCCGTGTCCCGTGCATCCTGCCCACAGCACTGCCAGCCCCCCTGGCTGTCCCGCTGCTGCCAGGCTGCCTTCCCGGGCACGACATTTCCAGCTGGGCACGGCTGCGGCGAGATGCTCTTTCAACACAAAGATCATCTGTCTGTGAATTTATCATCTAGTTTGGCAATCATTTTTGTCCCTGCCCGTGTCGACTGTTCCCATGGGTTTCAGACCTTCCCAGCCCCTTTATCGCTGCTCAGCTGCCTGCGCGCAGGCAGGCGTGTGGGGCTGCCTGCCTGCCTTCCCCTGCCTGCTCCAGCCTTGTCTCTGCGGTGGCCCTGGCCACCAGCCTGCTCCAAGGCACCTGCCTCGTTTCACCTTGGTTTCTCTAAAATCTACAGGTCTCCTGCACTTCACGGACAGTTTCAGGTGGCAGATCTGATGGACACCTGTCCTCGGTCTTGGGCTTTGCCTCTGGTGCCCTTTGCTTTACAAATGGCCCTGGCATCCTTCCCATCTGCCCAGGCCTCCCTGCCCTCCTCAAAGGAGACTCGGGGTCCCCAGCTTTGCTCCTGCGCTGGCCCTGCTCCGCTCTCTGCCCAGGACTGCGTCCCTACCTCCCCAGGGCATCCCGAGGGACATGGTTCCCTCTGTGGCCGGGGTCACTTACGGTCCAGAGGTGACGATGACGCTGCGCACCCGGTCAAAGCCGCGGTCCCCCAGGTTCAGGCACTCGGTTGTGAACTCCATCTGCCTGCCCTGGAAGTTCTCCTGATCGAAGACGATGATCTGGAGGCAGAGGGAAAGGGTCGGACGGGGACAGGCATGCTCGGAGAGGGCAAGGCAGTGCTGCCTGTCCCTGCACGGAGCCTGCACACATGAGCCCACTGCACCCTGTGTCCTTCCCGGCTCTCTAAGGCTTCCTGCAGCTTTTCAGGTCTGATGCCAGGGCAAGCCGAGCTGGCCTCTGTGCATGATCAGCCCCGTCCCAACATGGGCTGAGCACAGGAAGGTCCCCTCCTGGCAGCCATCCCTGCTCCGAGATGGCCTCATCCTGCCTCCAGTTTTGCTGCTGCAAAGCCATGCCTCCCTGCACCGGTGCCCACATTGGGCCCCAGCCAGGCTGGGCAGGAGCTGCTTTTCCAGGAGCCGCATCCGTGCTGTGGCCTTCGCTGCCTGGCATGTGCAGAAGTGTCACCGGAGCCCTCACATTGCTCACCCCTTGTCTCCAGCCCCGCTGCAGCACCTTGGTGGCACACCAAGTGTCACCGCAGCATTTCAGTGCTGGCCCTGTCACCCACAGCCTCCTCCTCCACCCCCCCGCAGCACCACAGGACCCCCGCATGTGGAGGGCAACCAGAGGGAGCAGGTGGCAGCACCCAGCCCTGACGCCATGACCTGGGGGAAGAGCATTTCCAAAGCCTGTGGTCCCCAACCAGGTGTCCCAGCCAAGGAGCACCCGGAGCATCCCTCCTGCAGCAGCCCCGCAAGCAGCTGCCCGTATCCTGCACCTAGAGAGCTGCTGCCCAGGAGGGACACAGCGGGGAGGGACGGCATCGTCTGCGCTCTCCTCCTGCTCTCGGAGGAGGGTCCTTCTCCCTGGGCTGCCTGCGCTCTCCTCCTGCTGACTGCCCCAGGGATGCTGCCACCGTCCCTCACCCCCGAACCGCATCCCTGCATGTGGGGAGCGGCAGGGCTTACCCTGAAGGCTTCTGTGGAGGGCTCCTCGCCCTTGCTGTTTGCAACGGGAGCAGGGTCGAGGGATGGAGTTGGCGCTGGGGCCGCCTTCTCCTTCTCCTCCGCAGCCTGGCCGGGAGCAGTGGGCTTTGTGGTTTCAGACATCGCGGTGCTGGGCTCAAGTCTGGGACAGGGCACCAGGCAGAGATGCCAGCAGCAGGTTAGAGGGGATGCATGGCCGTGGGCACCCACCACCCGCCCCAGTCCTCACCCTGCCCTGGGGATGGTCACATTGGGATGGGGGGGCTCAGCAATGGGGTGGGTGGCTGGGGCCAGGAGAGGAGCTGCCAGGAGATTCTCCAGGCAGGCACAGGCAGTGGAGTCCTGCCTTCACCAGGAGGACCTTCTGTGGTCAGGAAAGCCCTGAGCGTGGTCCCACCACTGCAGGGTGCCCAGGGCAGCCCTGAACACTGCTGCCCAGCCGCTCCCTGCTCTC